ACTCAGGGACAGACACAGAATTGTTACTCAGGGACACAGAATCGTTTAATTAAAGAGTATGTCAGACAACATGCAGAGGAGTGGCAGAGGAGGCAATGTTTTAGGAGCGATAGACGTGGCAGCAGAGGAAGGGGTCGAGGCAGCACTATTCGCAGCCAGAGGCCAGTGCTCCCGGTGTCATCCAGCGGTCGTGTCTCCACCGACAACCCTGCCGTCATCGATTGGTGGCTCGGTCGTCTTCCTCTTCCCAGGTCACCTCTGACACCTACAGCCAACGGTCGGTGGGTACGTCAGACACAACCGTTAGTTGGCATGGCCCGGGACCAAGCCCACTGAAATCACGTGTCCTCTACCTGCCCCTGTCCTTTGGTGTTCCCTCACCAAGCGAAGTATCGCATGCTGTGGGCTCAGCCCACACTGTACAGTGAGGAAGAGCTACAGAGGGCGGTCAGGAACGGGGGGAGACATCCGCCTCTTCAGCAGCCAGGCGAAGAAGTAGTGGCGAGGAGAGTGGCTCGGTAGCCGGTCTAGAGACAGGTCTGTCTCCTGACCCACACGCAGCCGAGGGGGGCTAGTAGTGAGGCGGAGACCCTAATTGATGATGATGAGGCTGATCGCACTTGGCAGCCTCGTCGTCATCAGGCTATTGCTTCCGCATCATCAGGAGAAGAGGGTGGCAGCTTGGCAGCGAGCAAAACAGTCGGTGGGTTTGCCCAGGAGGCAGCAGGGTTGCAGCAGTGTCAGTGGAGGCAAGTCGGCCACGGAGTACAGCACCAGCTCCACTGCAGCCTACCACCACGGCCAGTAGTGCCACTGGTCGGTGTGCACGGACACTGCTGGTCAGCCAGTTTTTTGTATAGGGTGCTGGCAGATTAGTTTCCATAGCTGCGGCCAGGCCCTAATTGCCATGGGCCCCTGTACCGCCTCCCATGGAAGTAAACGTAGGTCCGTAGTCGACTCATGTGGCCAGAAAGGCCTCAAGCGTGGCCAGGTCTCCATGTTGGGACTACAGCGTTGCGTTCATTTTTTGCAGCGTCGCCATTTGGTGGCCTGGGAAAACCATTGCTGATACCAGGTAATCTGCCATGGGCCCCTGTACCGCCTCCTCATGCTGCTGCCAGCCCCAGAGTGTCTCATGGGTCCCTGTACGGCCTCCCATTGCTGCTGTCTCCATCGCCACACTCTGCCATGTGCCACTTCAGGTCTCCTCACACACACTGCTGGTGTGTTCCATTTTTTGTCATAGGGTGCTGGCAGATTACGGGCCTCCCATAGCTGCTGCCAGGCCCCTAATCTGCCATGGGCCCCTGTACCGCCTCCTCATGCTGCTGCCAGGTCCAGAGTCTCTCATGGGTCCCTGTACGGCCTCCCATTGCTGCTGTCTCCATCGCCACACTCTGCCATGTGCCACTTTCAGGTCTCCTCACACACTGCTGGTGGTGTGTCCATTTTTTTGACATAGGGTGCTGGCAGATTACGGGCCTCCCATAGCTGCTGCCAGGCCCCTAATCTGCCATGGGCCCCTGTACCGCCTCCTCATGCTGCTGCCAGGTCCAGAGTGTCTCATGGGTCCCTGTACGGCCTCCCATTGCTGCTGTCTCCATCGCCACACTCTGCCATGTGCCACTTTCAGGTCTCCTCACACTGCTGGTGTGTTCCATTTTTTGTCATAGGGTGCTGGCAGATTACGGGCCTCCCATAGCTGCTGCCAGGCCCTAATCTGCCATGGGCCCCTATACCGCCTCCTCATCATGCTGCTGCCAGGTCCAGAGTCTCTCATGGGTCCCTGTACGGCCTCCCATTGCTGCTGTCTCCATCGCCACACTCTGCCATGTGCCACTTTCAGGTCTCCTCACACTGCTGGTGTGTTCCATTTTTTGTCATAGGGTGCTGGCAGATTACGGGCCTCCCATAGCTGCTGCCAGGCCCCTAATCTGCCATGGGCCCCTGTACCGCCTCCTCATGCTGCTGCCAGGTCCAGAGTGTCTCATGGGTCCCTGTACGGCCTCCCATGCTGCTTGCTGCTGTCTCCATCGCCACACTCTGCCATGTGCCACTTTCAGGTCTCCTCACACACTGCTGGTGTGTGTTCAATTTTTTGACATAGGGTGCTGGCAGATTACGGGCCTCCCATAGCTGCTGCCAGGCCCCTAATCTGCCATGGGCCCCCTGTACCCCGCCTCCTCATGCTGCTGCTGCCAGGTCCACAGTGTCTCATGCCATGTGCCACTTTCAGGTCTCCTCACACTGCTGGTGTGTTCAATTTTTTGACATAGGGTGCTGGCAGATTACGGGCCTCCCATAGCTGCTGCCAGGCCCCTAATCTGCCATGGGCCCCTATACCGCCTCCTCATGCTGCTGCCAGGTCCAGAGTCTCTCATGGGTCCCTGTACGGCCTCCCATTGCTGCTGTCTCCATCGCCACACTCTGCCATGTGCCACTTTCAGGTCTCCTCACACACTGCTGGTGTGTTCAATTTTTTGTCATAGGGTGCTGGCAGATTACGGGCCTCCCATAGCTGCTGCCAGGCCCCCTAATCTGCCATGGGCCCCTATACCGCCTCCTCATGCTGCTGCCAAGTCCAGAGTCTCTCATGGGTCCCTGTACGGCCTCCCATTGCTGCTGTCTCCATCGCCACACTCTGCCATGTGCCACTTTCAGGTCTCCTCACACACTGCTGGTGTGTTCCATTTTTTCATAGGGTGCTGGCAGATTACGGGCCTCCCATAGCTGCTGCCAGGCCCCTAATCTGCCATGGGCCCCTGTACCGCCTCCTCATGCTGCTGCCAGGTCCAGAGTCTCTCATGGGTCCCTGTACGGCCTCCCATTGCTGCTGTCTCCATCGCCACACTCTGCCATGTGCCACTTTCAGGTCTCCTCACACACTGCTGGTGTGTTCCATTTTTTGACATAGGGTGCTGGCAGATTACGGGCCTCCCATAGCTGCTGCCAGGCCCCTAATCTGCCATGGGCCCCCCCTGCCTCCTCATGCTGCTGCCTCCTCATGCTGTCCCTGCCAGGTCCACATTGCTGCTGTCATGCCATGTGCCATGTGCCACTTTCAGGTCTCCTCACACTGCTGGTGTGTTCAATTTTTTGTCATAGGGTGCTGGCAGATTACGGGCCTCCATAGCTTAGCTGCTGCCAGGCCCCTAATCTGCCATGGGCCCCTATACCGCAACTCCTCATCATGCTGCTGCCAGGTCCCAGAGTCTCTCATGGGTCCCTGTACGGCCTCCCATTGCTGCTGTCTCCATCGCCACACTCTGCCATGTGCCACTTTCAGGTCTCCTCACACTGCTGGTGTGTTACATTTTTGTCATAGGGTGCTGGCAGATTACGGGCCTCCCATTGCTGCTGCCAGGCCCGTAATCTGCCATGGGCCCCCGTACCGACTCCTCATGCTGTGACGTTGCAACAAGGTGGAATTCAACCCTACATATGTTAGACCGCCTTTACGAACAGCGAAAGGCCATCACAGATTTCCTGATGTTACAAGCGGATAAAGGTACTCCCTGTGTAACTTAGATGTCAGCCATTGGCAGCTCATGCGTGACACCTGCGCTTGCTCAGGCCCTTTGAGGAGGCCACGCTATTCGTGAGTCGGCAGGACTATGGGATGAACGACGTCATTCCTCTGTTGCACGTCCTGGAACAAATGCTGTTTAACAATGGCTGGTCAGGGTGCGGTAGACGTGGCGCACAGATCTCAACGCCACATGACCCCTGTGGGGGCAGGACAGGAAGAAGAGAGGAGGAGGTAGAGGAGGACATTGTGTGCTCAGGAATTATTGAGTGAAATGGGTGGTTTTTCCACTCAGCGGACAGGAGTGGAGGAGCAGGAGCATCTGGTAGAGGAGGAGGAGAGGAGACAGAGGACCCAGACGCACCGTGGCAGTATGCTGTGGAGATGGAGGCAGGGAGTCCCTCGCATTCCTTGGCACAAATGGCCCATAGCATGCTCGCTTGCTTGCGTAGCGACAGCCGAATAATAACCATCAGACAGAGGGATGACTTTTGGCTGTCCACCTTGTTGGACCCTCGCTACCGTTCAAAAATGGTGGCCTTTTTCACACCTGCTGAGAGGGAGGCCAAAATAACATACTATAAAAACCACCTATGTAGTCAGCTGGTCTCTGCCTTTCTGCGCCAACGTCCATCCTCAGACACTGTGGCCCTGTGCGCTCGCGTTCCGCTGCATGGCAGCAGGGGAGGGGTGGGGTTGTAGGAGCAGTGGCAGCTCCACCAGCAGTGGCTGCCTCAGTCTGCAGTCGATGATGAGTAGCTTTCTTCACCAGTGCAGTGAGGAAACTACTAACCAGCCCAGCAGCAGCAGCAGCATCAGGTGGACCTGGAGCAGGACCTCAAACAACAGGCTTAGGCCTACTTGGACAGCACCCTGCCAACCGAGGTAGACAATCCCCTTGACTACTGGGCAATGAAACTTGACCTTTGGCCCCAACTAGCTGAATTTGCCCTTAAAAGGCTGTCATGCCCGGCCAGTAGTGTGGCATCGGAGCGCATTGCTGTGTTTAGTGCGGCAGGAGGTATTGTAACTCCGCGGAGGACACGACTGGTGTGTTCCATTTTTTGTCATAGGGTGCTGGCAGATTACGGGCCTCCCATTGCTGCTGCCAGGCCCGTAATCTGCCATGGGCCCCTGTACCGACTCCTCATGCTGCTGCCAGGCCCGTAATCTGTCATGGGCCCCTGTTGTCGCTTGTTGGCATATTCCGCTCGTTCAGATGCTCCTTCTCCTGCTACTCCTCTTCACGGATTCCGTCAGCAGTCTTTCTTGGAATACGTTTCCAAGAGACAACAGTTTGCGAGCACGCACCCGACGGTGCAGAAGCTGAACGTCCTCCTGTCCAAGTTGCTGCTGTCAGGCTCGTAATCTGTCATGCGCCCCTGTACCGCCTCCTCATGCTGCTGCCAGGTCCAGAGTGTGTCATGGGCCCCCGTACCGACTCCTCATGCTGCTGCCAGGCCCGTAATCTGTCATGGGCCCCTGTACCGCCTCCTCATGCTGCTGCCAGGTCCAGAGTGTGTCATGGGTCCCTGTACGGCCTCCCATTGCTGCTGCCAGGCCCGTAATCTGCCATGGGCCCCCGTACCTACTCCTCATGCTGCTGCCAGGCCCGTAATCTGTCATGGGCCCCTGTACCGCCTCCTCATGCTGCTGCCAGGTCCAGAGTGTGTCATGGGTCCCTGTACGGCCTCCCATTGCTGCTGTCTCTATCGCCACACTCTGCCATGTGCCACTTTCAGGTCTCCTCACACTGCTGGTGGTTTCCATTTTTGTCATAGGGTGCTGTATGGCCTCCCATTGCTGCTGCCTCCACCGCCACGCTGTGGCTCCACACTCTGGTTTTGGCCCCGTGACTGCCCAAATGAGTGAAGTGTGCGGTGATTCTAAGATCGACGGCACTCATCTGCATGTCATACTGACTGTCAGTATTATTTCTCTTCCCCAGCAGACTCCAAGGACATTTAAATTAAAGGTACAGTGTTCTGCACTAATATAAAGGCTCTCTGAAGCCTAGAAACACCCTTTTATAAGTTAAATTTGCAGCGAATATATTCGACTCGAATCGAAATTTTTCCACGAATTCGCCGAATCAGTCGAATCGAATTTTTGAATACTTCGCTCATCTCTAATCATATTGGTAAGCAACAAGGCAATAATAGCACAAGTATACACTATATTGTACTATAGGATCATTTAACCAGTAAGACTTCATTCTTCAGGATTTAGGACCCAACAGAGATGCCAAAGTGAGGGTGAGTTTCAATGGGAAATAATGTTTTTGGTAAGCAGTGAATCTGAGAGACTTTAGGGAATATCTCCACTGTGGTAAAGGTCATGTCTAATCTAGATTGAGATAAATTGTCCCTCCTGTCCTGATGTTTCCATTTCCATATATCTATAAGTTTGTACCTGTGAGTCTAGTCAGGTAGCATAGAGTGGCATCTTAAAGGGATTTTAAAGGCATTTTTAAAAAATAGCAACCATGTCATACTTACTTGCACTGTGCAGTGGTTTTGCACAGAGCAACCCTGATCCTCCTCTTCTCAGGTGCCCCACTGGCTGTCCTGGCCCCTTCCCTCCTGCTTAGTGCCCCAAGAGCAAACAACTTGCTATGGGAGCACTCAATGAATAGTGGTCCCAAGCCAATGCTCTGCATGTCCATTCACACACATAGCTGTGGCTCGACTCCACCCCCTCTTTCTCCTCATTGGTTCACTGGCTGTGGTTGTCAGCAGTTGGAGCCAAAGATGAGGGAAAGTCCCTAGCTCTGATTCACATCACTGTATTGAGAGGGGGCTCCGGTAGGTACTAGGGGGGCTGGGGGCTGCTGCACACAGGTTTTTTTATCTTCATTCATAGATAGGCTGTTGAGAATCAAAGTCAACCAACTAATCCATAATTAGTAAAGTGTAGGTTTACAAACTGCAATAGAATAGAAACAGGGTCAAGCAGGGTTGGTGAATATAGTGGATGTAGTTATCAGCAAAAGAAAGCATGTGGAATGGTCTATGGAATGGTAACAATGACAGGCAGAAATATCCAGAGGTGGGGACGGCTCCAAAAATAATACCTGTTGGTCTCTGTGGTTGTGGGTATTCAACCAGTTGCTAGCTTTTAATGTGATATTGAAAAATCACTTACAGCTTGGCTTGATAGAACATGCTTTAGGCAATATTATTTTCTCTGATTCATTTATTTAACATTTTAAAATGCTACTTAGTTTTTTTGTAGAAATCAGGAAGGATTATTGATGTTGTATTTGAGCTTATTGAGGGTATTGGAATCTAGTGAGGGATGGTCTGGGAATTGTTACTGGAGGCAGCAGATACATCAGAATGTTCTACATCCTCTCTATTCTATGCAAAAAAAAACACATTGCAAATTGGATCATGCTTTGCTGATTTTTTTTGCCTTCCTCTGGATCAGCTGTGGGTATAGGATTATAACTTTTTTTTTATGGTTGAACTGGATGGAATTTTGTCTTCTTTCAGCCAGACTAACTATGTCACTATGTAACATTTGTTTTCTATAGTAACTTTAAGCCAGTCATCTATAAAGGTCTCAGGATTACAGATTAGGCATTTGTTTTTCTGGACATTCATTGAACTGTGATGAAGTTCTGAATGTTAATCTAGACCTTACTGAAGTCAATACATTATACATACTACATATATGTATACATGAATGTACATAAAATACATATATGTATACATGAAAGAGTAAGTGGTTTGTTGTATAAAATAAAATGTAAACAGCAAATAAACACAAAATATACTTTGACAATCCTTTATGATAAAAAAAAGTCCCAAATATGTCCAACAATGCAAATCCATTGTCAATCAAATCATCCAGTTATACTGATTTTCATCAATCATGATGAATGATGTCTATTGATCTGTTAAAATAAAAAAACTTGCCAACCCCCAGACACATCTGCTCCCATAGCTAACACCTTGTATTATGGGGTGGCAATGCTCTGCCCCTGTTTCCTGCAATCTCCTGCCTGTACATCACCCTGTCACATGCTTTCCCAATTGGAAGTCAATGCTGCTGTGCTTAGGCTTCTTTTCCAGGTATATTCCACCACTGTCACCATTTAAAGCTGACCATCCATGCAAATACAAGGTCAACTCTGTATAAAGTTCCCCAAGTCAAATTGCCTGCAAAGGCAGTTTAAAAATAAAGCTGACCTCACTGTACCTCACTTCTGCCTTCTGGTATATCTGAGAGCTTGTCATACCACGCAAATGCAATACAGCCCATTGCAGGCATGTATTCTCATTGGATTTTAAGCATCCAGCTATCCCAAGAGGCAGCAGTGGAGCATGGTGATGTCATCAATGCCTCCTATCACTACTATGATCAAAAGCTGGAGCTGAGATAAGCATTTTTTTTTTATACAACAGCTTTAGTTTTAAATCACCTTTGCTGAAGATTGAAAGTAGGGGGATCACACTTGAGACCCCTACCTATGGGACCAGGGCAGACCCTGAGGGCAGTTAAGCAGAAATTAAAATTGATTGGTTACTTACCTGTCTTTAAGTGCAGCCATTGGTTAGGCAATTTGAAGAGAGCATATAAAAGGAGAAAAAGAAGATGTTAAATGGCAGAATCGGCAGTGGATGAGAAGAAGATCCACCCCTCCCTCCTGCCTGTGTCTATGTCACGGCCCACTATTGTGTAGTTTTGTCCCATCTGCGGAAGGGGACAGTTTGTGATAATTATTATTAGTTCGAGCTGTAATGGCTGAACTAAATTGTATATTTATATAATATTTGCTATAAGCAGTATTATACTGTAGTAGTGCTATTTGTATAAGCAGTACTTATTAATATATATTATTAATACCAACAATAAATGGGCCACGGCCAATTCATACCAATATTAAGGTCTGTTTGTCTATTTATTTCATTAATATTTGATTCCAGGTTTTCTCTCCAGTCCCATTAACATTGGGGTGGGGTAATTTGAATAGAGTGGACCCTCCATTTTTATGGAGAATAAAATGTTTGTGGGAAAAACAATTGCCGCCAGAAACAAATAGACATATACAGTGAGGAACAGAAGTATTTGAACACCCTGCGATTTTGCTAGTTATCCCACTTAGAAATCATGGAGGGGTCTGAAATGCACATTGTAGGTGCATTCCCACTCTGAGAGACAGAACTAAAAAAAAAAACAATTCCGGAAATCACATTGTTTGATTTTTAAAGAATTTATTTGTCTTGCACTGCTGAACATAAGTATTTGAACACCTGAGAAAATCAGTGTTAATATTTGGTACAGAAGCCTTTGTTTGCAATTACAGAGGTCAAATGTTTCCTGTAGTTCTTGACCAGGTTTGCACACACTGCAACAGGGATCTTGGCCCACTCCTCCACATAGATCTCCTCTAGATATGTCAGGTTTCGGGGCTGTCGCTGAGCAACACGGAGTTTCAGTTCCCTCCAAAGATGTTCTATTGGATTTAGGTCTGGAGACTGGCTAGGCCACTCCAGAACCTTGATATGCTTCTTACGGAGCCACTCCTTGGTTATCCTGGCTGTGTGCTTCGGGTCGTTGTCATGTTGGAAGACCCAACCACGACCCATCTTCAATGCTCTGACTGAGGGAAGGAGGTTGTTGCTCAAAATCTCACAATAAATGGCCCCATTCATCCTCTCCTTAATACAGTGCAGTCGTCCTGTCCCCTTCGCAGAAAAGCACCCCCAAAGCACGATGTTACCACCCCCATGCTTCACAGTAGGGATGGTGTTCTTGGGATGCAACTCATCCTTCTTTTTCCTCCAAACACGACGAGTGAAGTTTAGACCAAAAAGTTCTACTTTGGTCTCATCTGACCACATGACTTTCTCCCATGCCTCCTCTGGATCATCCAGATGGTCATTGGCAAACTTCAGGCGGGCCTGGACATGTGATGACTTGAGCAGGGGAACCTTCCGTGCAATGCATGATTTGAAACCATGATGGCGTAGTGTTCTACCGACAGTGACCTTTGAAACTGTGGTCCCAGCTCTCTTCATGTCATTGACCAGCTCCTCCCTTGTAGTTCTGGGCTGATTCCTCACCTTTCTTATCATCAGTGATACCCCATGAGGTGAGATCTTGCATGGAGCCCCAGTCCGAGGGAGACTGAGAGTCGTCTTTAGCCTCTTCCATTTTCCAACAATTGCTCCAACAGTTGATCTATTTTCACCAAGCTGCTTGGCAACTGCCTCGTAGCCCTTTCCAGCCCTGTGGAGGTCCACAATTTTGTCTCTGGTGTCTTTTGACAGCTCTTTGATCTTGCCCATGTTAGTAGTTGGCGTCTGACTGACTGTGGGGTGGACAGGTGTCTTTAAAGAGCTCAGACAGGTGCTACTAAGTTAGATTAATGAGTGGAGTAGAGGTGGACTTTTTAAAGGAACAGTAACAGGTCTTTGAGAGCCAGAATTCTTGCTGTTTCTTAGGTGTTCAAATACTTATGTTCAGCAGTGCAAGACAAATAAATTCTTTAAAAATCATCATACAATGTGATTTCCTGAATTTTTTTTTTAATTCTGTCTCTCAGAGTGAGAATGCACCTCCCATGTGAATTTCAGACTTCTCCATGATTTCTAAGTGGGAGAACTTGCAAAATCGCAGGGTGTTCAAATACTTCTGTTCCTCACTGTAAATAGGAAATATACTCTGTGAAAAAAACACAGGTACTCTGTTATTATGTATAGAAAACCTTCAGCACAAAAAGGTATCCTAAAAAAATGTGTGAGGCTAGCATATAATGTGTTCCCACATGTAACAAAGTAAATAAAATGAAGAAATGCAGCGCAACAATATCTAAATAAATATAATGGTGCTTACAATCTAATACATGAGTGTATAAATAGTGAAACCAGCCTGCTGTGCTTATGAAGATTAATATATGTTATTCAAGATGTCTCCAATGTAAACGTATAAATACCCATAAAGACTGCACATAACCAGTGCTATAAATAAATAGTGCACACAAATACAAAA